ATATATTGAAAGATAGAATCCAAATAAGGGCAATGTATGTTTGCTTTTCTGAATATAGTGCATGTTTCATCTTTATATGATGCTCCATACCTTTTCTGAGCAGCAGAAGAGAGGCACAAGTCATTAAAAGTGGCAGGAAAATGTGGAAATCGTGAACTTGTAGATTCCCACGTTAGGATTTTTCCAGATTTTGGGTAAACATCTGATATTACAAGAATAGTTACTGGACATAAAAAAATCATTCTACTGACATCAGTTACCATTCATTGATGCCACATGGAGTAGCTGGATCAGGTTACAGATTTTAATAATTATATCTCTTTATAATCCTGATAAGAAACAATCCAGAATACAAAGCCACCCACTTCCTCTACAGTTAATAGATGTATTTCCATCAGTTACCATTCATTGATGCCACATGGAGTAGCTGGATCAGGTTACAGATTTTAATAATTATATCTCTTTATAATCCTGATGATAAGAAACAATCCAGAATACAAAGCCACCCACTTCCTCTACAGTTAATAGATGTATTTCTCAATCCTCCTACCAAAGAAGATGATAGCAATTTTCTGCAAACGCTCTAACATTTTCCTCTATATTCCTAGTGAAACTTTAGGAAACACAAATGGTGACAGTAAGCTAAATGTCATGGTGGAATGACGAACACCAAGATACTAGGTTTAGGGGCTGGAGAAAATATTTTCAACCAAAAAGGGAAGGTACATATTTAAATGTTTACAGGTTTTCTCAAGAGCATTTAACACTGAGATTAAACTATATTTTGAATAAAGCACCTTCAAAAGAGACAGTGAGAAATGTGACTTCAGTAGCTGCTTACAGAATACTGTTTCCCCCTTACATGTTCCTGGCCTAAGTCCTCCTTACAGATCATTCCAGAGTTACCTTGAGCCCAGCTAAAACTACACTTGGGGCTTCAGTTCACTGCGACAAGCAGGCATTATTTTTGTGATGTGATTTTAATTTGAAAAACACAGGACACATCAGGACAGTCACTTCTGGTAGGTATAGATTCTTCTGATAGCTGGGATGGAAAACACAGGACACATCAGGACAGTCACTTCTGGTAGGTATAGATTCTTCTGATAGCTGGGATTATGGACTACACCTAGTCATTGACAAAAACGACAAAAACGCCACGTTGTCTTTGTTGTCAGCCCCCTGTGACCTCCTTCTCTTACCAATGAAGTAGAGCACCCCGAACTGTTTTAATTCTATCCATTTTATGACTCAAGGAGGATTCTAAAAGCTGCCATGAGACTCGTTTCTTGTCATGAGAGCAATTTTTCAAACTGCTAGATAAAGATGTAGAAAATCAAATCAAGAAGATAAGCAACATCTCCAGGTCTCCAAAGAGATCAATTCTAAAGGCTGACAGAGAGAGCAATGACAGCATCCAATCTTCTTAGTGGTGAGATGCTTAACCATGCTACATAAAGGCCACAAGCAACTTCCCAAAAAATAAGTGGGCATGCTTTGTAAGCTGGGATTTAAAAGTAAGATGATAATGACTCCAGCTAACATACCAGCCTTACAGGTGGAGCTCACATGGCAGCATGGATCTGTCCCAAGGAGAGGAGGCAGCAGGATAAGAGCTGATGCTGTTTCAGAGCCCAGGTGGCTGTGAGCGCCTGGGTTATGTGGTGGGCTAGGCTAAAGGAATTGGCAAGTACACAAATGGTCATGAGTATAATGGAACAGCTGGCTCGGGAGCAGGGGATCGCAGGTCCTAGACCCACGAGAGGCACTAGAACTGGCTGTATGATGCCGAGCATGTCATCTCTGTGGGCCTTGGTTTCCTTGCGTGCAAAAGAGATGGCCAACGTGTTGCTCCAACATTCTAGGATTTGTGATGTATTGGAGAACAGGTGATAGAGAAATAATTCACCTGGAATGGGAGGGGGTAAGAGACCAGGTATGCCTTTGGAACAAAGGTGGAGTGCAAGCCTAGCACAGCAGCCTTCTTAGGTGGTGATAGTTACAGCCAAACCACAGGTTCCTGTCACCCTCCCTCATGGCAGAGGTGCAGGCATGTCCTCATGTAAGGCCATGGAGAATGAGTACAGAACCCACTCTCACCACCCTCGGTGAATACCAGCACGACATAGGATGACACGTAGGTAGAAAGAAACGTGCAGAACCCTCAAACTTCCAGGAAAATGGTAGGGGCTGAAAGTTTGTTTTTCTTAAAAGCAGTGGTCAAATATTGATGCTATAGGAAAAAAGGACAGTTTAATCAACAGTAAGGGTAACTAAACCGCAATCCAAAAAAAAAGACAGACAGACAAAGCTTTAGTGGGATTTGTCTTCTGGCAAAAATTTCATCCCAGACCCTCAAAAATGCTTTAAGAAGTATCTTTCTTCCTTAGACAGCCAAAGACATTAGTCTCGTGGTTACCATCAGCAACACCGTATTTGCCCATATCATTTCTCTTATTTCCAAATTTTAGCTAATTTGCCCAAAATAGGATTGAAATATTAGTTCTCCCTATACCATTTAACAGATCTGACAAAGGACCATCTCCACAAACATTAAACTTTTCAGCGGATGAAAACTAAAAATCATAGCAAAAGCTACAGAAGGAACTGTTTCTAGTTAGAATTTTGCATATAGTGGATGCTAATTACTGAATGTAAAGGATAATTTATGATTTTACTTTGACAAAAAATGCCAAAAAACCCTTTATAAACAAATGCTCATAAACTTGAATTTCCATCCAATTTTCAAAACTCTTAGTCATTTTTGTTGATGACAAGAATAGCCTTCAAATAGCCTTTAATAAATGCTGCCCATTTAGGGCCGGCCCGTGGCTCATTTAGGAGAGGGAGTGTGGTGCTGATAACACCAAGGCCACGGGTTTGGATCCCTATAGGGATGGCCGGTTGCTCACTTGGAGCGTAATAACTTCGTATAGCATACATTATACGAAGTTATACGATTTATAGTAAGGCATATTTCCCCCTTTGTAAATATTAAGTAATCTGTAGTGCATGATACTTGGTATGTATGTATGATACTTTGACACTATACAAACATGCTCCTTCTCTCTACCTTTTTTCCCCAGATCGGTTTTAGCTTCTATTGATGATCCTTGCCTGAATCATTGGGAATTGCAAATGGTGATTTTTCAAATTCTGTCATTCAATCTACATTTATTGGCTGGCATTCTTCTATAAAGAAAAACTCTTCCCCCACCTTTTGAGTATCACCCTGGACTTACGAATTTAAAAAATGTATTCAATGCTTTGATAATCTATCACAGTTATACTTTTTAGTGGCCAAACTGATTCACATTTGGCCAATGGAGTCTCCTCAAGCTGGGTTCTGTGGGTGTTTGACTTGAGCCTAACGGTTTTGGTGTACTTCCTTGCTTTCTAGCAAGGTGTTTCAGGCTCAACTTTGAACTTCTGTATTTTATGGGCCTGAGGACAGAAATTAGTCATTTCTCTAAGAAACACCATTTCTTTATGAAACACCATTTCCTTTTAGTGGGGAAAGGTATTTAGATATCAAGATATGGGTACCCTCTAGTGGGGTGACATTACTTCTAAGAAATATACGCGAAAAATTCTTATTCAAATTTAACATCAGATGATTTTCTCCCCATAACTTCCTTTATTTTACATTTGCATTTCTTTTAGAGTTTCTAACATAAATATATTTATTATTCATTTTCATCTACAGTAGACATGAGTTTCAAAACTACATTACCAATAGTACTACTAACAATAAATCTGTGAAGTTTGAGGGTTTTGTTTGTTTTGGGTTTTTTGGCCTCCAGAACATACACCACTAAGAATGTATGGTTACGGTACCATTTTATAGGTCTAAATAAACTTCTGAATAAGTCTAAAGAACTTTGAATGACTGCCATTTCTGATCCTTGTAAAGCCTTAGGAAGGAATCCTTATTTTCTGTTTTTAGTGGCATGTACTCTGTTCTCTCGTGGTACAGTTTACTGTTCTTTTAGTGGGATATGTAAAATACACAACAGCTGAAAATGCATGGACTAGCAAGGCAATACAGATTTAAGTGAACAGTTCAGGATGGCTATGACTGACAAACACCTGAGCACCTGCATTGACAACATCCATTTAAGGTTGTTTTTCCATCAACCTTAAATGGATGATGCCACCTAAGCATCATCCCAGGACATGTAAGTGTTCAATGCGTTGTACCCCCAAACACTCAATAAGCACAAAAAAGCAAGCAACTTGCTCTGCAGCAAATCTTTATGCAAATATTCAAAACTGTTGAGGGGCTAGAAATCTTGATTCTCCTTTGATCTTAGAATAGGATTTTTAGGTAAAAGCATGCATAGGGCCAAAGCCCTCAAGTAGAGGACCACGGTCCACAGACAGCTTGGCAAAAGCTCATCTAATCAATTCTAATCACTGTTTAGGGATGGGATTGTGTACTTCGATTATTTTAGGTCACTGGTTTGACCACTCAAAGGACTATTAAGGACTATTGACTATTGAAGCTGCTTGATTGTTGTTAAGATATGTTGAGGAAGCAGCTTGATTGTTGTTTAAATATGCTGAGGAAATTGCTGTAGGAAAATGTGTGAAAAAGAAAATGTTTGCTAAAGGCAAGCTGTTTGTTGGTGCATCGATTTATCTTTTCACAAATTGCATTCTGGAATGTCACATTGTTAATTTTATTGATGTTACTAGTTTCTGTTGTTTAACCTATATTTAGCCATAATTAACTTCTGTAACACTGCCTTTGTTTTTATGTCCTTCTTTGATGACTGAATCAACCGATTTTTCTTGTGAAACTTCTTTGTCTTGACATTAAAAAGAAAAGCTAATTTTGAATCAGGGCTGCTGCCCCTGATGGGCTGCAGTCCCTCTAGGCTTCATTCATGGTGCTTTGAGTAATTCTTTCCTTTTTTTCGTCTCCATTATTCATTGACCTTGGTATTATAAACATCACGCTTTAACCAACTGAGCTTATTTAACTGGCCAGCTCCAAACAGTATTTTTAATACAGAAATTTTTCTTAACCAAAAGAATAAAGTTTTACTGGGCGAATTATACTTTAGACACTAAAAAAAGCTAATTCTAGATAAATTTAAGGAGTTGGACCAAGGATTCTTGAGAAGATAGCTATATGTGGGCACAGGCTAGAAATGGAAAATTAGATATCATTTTACCAATTAAAAAAAATTCCACATCTTCCTTCCTCTGTGCATTTCCCTATGCTCCAGCTTTGCTGGAGGGGGGCCTTCTCTAGCTGCAAAGAAAATCTGATTTTAAAGCGTGAAACATGAGGTGCTATGCAATGCTTATGTATCACTGAGTGAGAACAAGGCTAAAGCAAACAAAGATTTTTTTTAAAGAGCTTCTCAATACCAAGTAGATGGGCCACATGAAACCTAGAAGGTCTTGGCGGAAAGAAATCAAAATACAGTGAGGCTGAACACTTGTGCGGGGGGGCCACAGCCAATGCGGTGAAATGAGATCACAGATGGTGGACACTGAGCGGAAGGATGCAGTACCTCGGAGGCATGTTACTTTAACTGGATCCAGAGGGCGTCTTTCGGGACCTGTCTCTCCTGACTGCACTGACCTTTTCCTTTTCCCAAGGCCGCATGAGTACTTAAGCTCATCGGTTGTGAAAACAAATCTGATGAGGTATCGAAGGAGACGTCTCCCATCTTTCTTTGAAGAATTTACAGCCTCGTCCCACTGTTTGCTCGTTATGTAGACAGGGTAGTTGTTCAACAGCTGCTTGCTTCCCTGGAAAAGCAAAATATTTTCTCGTTAGCTACAGGGCCAGCCAGCCAGAAGCAGAAGCGATCTCCATTTCAAAGGCAGATATGCTTTGTAACCAAGTGGCTATGCTGACAATGAACCAGGTACTCAAGAGCACAAGTAATTGCTCACACTCAGAATGGGCACTTTTCAAATTACATTTGCATTTTTTATAAGAAGAGCCAATGAGGTATAATGAACACCTTTGAAAGAGGAGCTATTTATAACTTGCATTTTAACAGGTAGGTTAAAATGTGTCAAGATCCAATGACAGGGAACACTATTTAAATATAACCTGTAACTTTCCTTTTCAATCTATTAAAATATGCAAAATGACTTTGAAGAGTATGATCAAACAGGTCTCTCCATTTTTTGGTTGGCAGTTAAGTACTTTTAGATATTATTTGCTGGTGGTCTATTTTAATAAGGTATTGCTTACATGTAACATACCCAACACCTGATAGCCACTGCATTAAAGTGGAAACAACATTAAAAAGCAAATTTAAAAAAGGAAGAATTGTGGAAACTGAAAAAAAAAACCCAACATTAATAATAACGCAAAACAGGTTTCCTCAAATTATAGCTTTTGCAAATGCCACTATGTCAACTCAAAATTTTTCTTACTTTTCACCTTCATAATTTATGTCTGCTATAAAATTCCTAGGCTAAATAGCTGCAGTGGGACTAATTACGGGAATTTCTGTAGCATTTATAAGCCATGTTTAGTCAACTGCACCTACACAACCATTACTTTAGTTCTGGTTGTCCATAAAATTCTACAGTCCAGGACAAATTAATTAACCCACGATCTCAGTTTTAATGTACTCCTTCCCCAGTAATTAAGGCATACAAAATAAAGAAGGAAAAACTCATTCAGTTTTACAACTCTGCAAATTTACTACAGGTTATAAATTTGGCACTGTTTCAGTCTGATAGGGTTTTATTTCAAAAAGTGCTCTGTTTAGTTAAGCACCGAAAGGGTAAATGGCCTAGGAGTCAACAGGAAGAGGCGGCCAGATTTGGCTAGGAAATTGTCAATAACCTATACACATGGAAACACATCACTACAGCATTCATACTTTCTTGAACGAGCAATAGTGTGACTTTGTTTCATTTTTTAAGGGAGGCAGTTAAGGCATGTGGTTTGGGCTCTGAATTTAGAGTCAGGTTGGGTTTAAATTAAACTTGGAACCATGTCTTATTAGATTAACTTAAGCAAGTTACTTCAACTTGTTGGACCCAAGTTTCCCCATTTGTAAAACAGAAGGAACTAAATAACTAAATTATCACGGGTTTACGATGTGAATATTCGGGAGCATAAGCCAACCCTCAGCTCCACTTACAAGAGATGATCAAAAGATGGGTGGAGTCCAGAGGTGCCAAAGGCTCCTTGGGCCCAGGTTGCAGCAGGAGGTGAGAATCAAGGCTGTGGCGATGCAAACGGAGAGGTGGGAATGAAAGTCACAGAAGAGGGGGAAGGCGAGGGCAGGCAACCAACTGCATGAACCAGGGTGTGGGGACTGAGGAAGAGAGATGATTCTGAGGAGAGATGGTGGTATCTTCCACAAAGATAAGGAACAGGGCATGGCTGAGAGGAGGAGGCGGGAAGCAGGGAAAATGACCCACTGCTTCCCACGCATAGGGAGGGCAGGGCTCAAAAGGGATCACTGGTGACCCCTCAGCCCTCAGGGCAGCTGGGTGGGCCTGGTGCCGGTGGAACCAGGCTGGCTGGCTCAGAACCACTAAGTGCCGAAAGTGCTTACTGCGTCGAAAGTACTTTCATGGAAGAACCTTAGTAGTAACTGTCACCATTTATAGAGCGATTGATGACCATCCTGAGGTGCTTATCCCAGCACTGTGCACGAGAGGAATCCTTTCTCCTCACAGGCAGCGGTGCCAGAGCAGTTACAGAGCTGGGCTCTGGGGTCAGCCTCAGGCAGGTGACAACTTCTCTAATAATAATCCCAGCTTGCTGGTTTGTGGCGAGGAGTCCACCAATCTCCCACCAGAAGATAAGCACATGAGGGCTGGGATTTTTGTTTTATTCCTTTTTGGGGGGGGGTGGGGCAGCTGGCCAGTACGGGAATCTGAACGTTTGATCTTGGTGTTATTAACACAGGGCTTTAACCAGCCCCCTTTATCTGTTTTATTCAATGCTGAATACAGTGCCTGACACATAGTAGGCGCAATGAAGACTTGTTGAATGACTGAAGTGGTATAACACCTACTGCTGTGGTTGGTGCAAAGTAGATGCACAATAATTGTTATAATTAAGTTTGTTTGTTTTTTAATCACTATGGCACCAGGACATTGGAAAAGTTTTCAGGACTATAAATCGGCAAGGTTAAAGAATTTTTTATTTTTTTTAGCAGCTGGCGGGGCAGGGATCCAAACCCTTAGACCTTGGTGTTATAACACCGCACTCTAATCAGCTGAGCTAAGTGGCCAGCCTAAAGTTAAAGAATTTTAAGGAGAGCAACAAAGGTGAGAAACCATTAAAAAGGGGCTTCCGGGTTTTTTTTTAGCAGCTGGCGGGGCAGGGATCCAAACCCTTAGACCTTGGTGTTATAACACCGCACTCTAATCAGCTGAGCTAAGTGGCCAGCCCAAAGTTAAAGAATTTTAAGGAGAGCAACAAAGGTGAGAAACCATTAAAAAGGGGCTTCCGGGATAGGGGACTACCATCATCCTTAATTTAAAACCATCCTCTTATGTAGGATCTGTAAGCTTTGTGTGTACAAGTAAGTACATTTGACAGCTTTAAAAAAGGAAGACTGTGGAGCTAGTTTTTAAACCATCTATTTATTTAACACTATACAAGTTTTTTTTTTTTGTCTTTTGTCTGTTTTTTCCGTGTCCGGCAACGGATCGCAACCCTCAGTGTTGCCCCCGTACCGGACCAGGGACCGGCAACGGGATTGCAAACCTCGGTGTTGCTCCCACGCCTCGCTCAGCCAGTGAGCGGGAGCCGGTCTGTATGTGGGATCCGAACCCTCGGGCGGCAGCGCTGCCGCGCCTCCTAAGCGGTGCACTATCCAGTGCGCCACTGGGCCGGCCCTCTATACAAGTTTTTAAAAACCGTTTCCCTCAGGTGTGTGAGCTCACCTGGCAATCTAGGATTACTGTTGTATTTTACCAAGGAGGTTAAATTCTTTTCCAAGTTCTCATAACTCAAAGGGGCAGGGCTGGAAAACCCTGCCTCCAAGTTCAAGGTTCTCCCCATGGTGCTGGCTACACTCCTACAATTGGTCTGTTTTAAGATGGGAGGTCCTTGTGATTAGGGAGATGACAATCCAAGAAAGGAGCTTTTTCAAAGCCTTAAAAACAATCCACTCAGTGTAGAAACTTTTGGTCTCATAAAATGTAGAAATACCATTTGGAGGTAATTTTCATCAAGAAAAAGCAAAAGAAAGGGAAAAAGTAATTTATAACCCAACACAACTCAGGATGCTCTCTGGATGAAATTATGGATGAGATTTAGAATCCTGTTTTAGGATAATTAATAGAAATAAAATAATAAAAATGAGAAAATGCTCATGCACCTGATGTGACAATAAAAATAGAATAGTAATAATGAAGATGATGGGTAATCAAAGTTCAATAGTCCTATCCAGAGAAAATACAGATATTCCCCCTATTTTTATTTTTTTATGGAAATCCAGTTGTATAGTCTCTTCAATTAGCCACCAACAGGTTACTAAACTCTCACCTATATATACTGTTGAGTCACTTTGAAAAGACCAAGATGAATAACCCTCAATTAATGTCTTCACAGCCTCACAGCCCAATGGAAGATACAGGTGTACATTTACTATTAAGTAAGGTACTAGATGGGAGTTGGACTTATGAGCAATGTGCTACGTGAGCACACAGCAGGACAGTGGCCATCAGGGAGAGCTTCTTGGAGGGAGTGGACTTTCCAGATGTGCTTTCTGTCTGACAGAACTGCCAAGTTAAGAAACGGAGGCTTTGTTCTAGGGAGTGACTTGAAGCATGTAACATTTAATCTGAATCTGTAATTTAGAAAAATAACTTTCCACATGGAGAATGAAGAAAGAATCTGCTTCAACAGTCCAGGTGAAAAGCGACAAGAGTAAACCAGAGGGAAGAGACAATTCAGTGTGGCTGTAGAATTACGGCATGTCAGGAAGAGGATGAGGAAAGCGTCAGCGACATGTCAGAACCTTCTACCTGGGGTTGGGGGAGGAGTGAGGATGGGTAATGAGTGGGCGTGTGGGCGCCCTGCTGTCAGGACGCGGTGGGCATGCTGGCCCGGAGTTGAGCCATGGGGACTGGGGCTCTCCATACACATTCGGGACTTAGCCTACATGTGGTAGATGTCGTAGGTGGAACCTAACTGACTGGAGAAAGACAACAGAGAGCAAGAGAAGACAAAGCATGAACCTCTGGACACAGTGGATGGAAAACCCATGAAATTGTAATAAAAAAGGACAGGGACTACAAGAGAGGACTGACACTAGGCCAAGGTGAGAGACAGCATGGAGGAGAGGGGCAGGCCTGGGGTGCCCCTGGATCAGACAATTGGGAAAGTCACCAGGGGCCTCTTGCAGAACATTCTGGTAGATTGTGGAAGTGGGACCAGGTTACAGGGTGCAAGAGCAAATGGGAACTAAGAGAGAGGAGATAATGAATATAGATCAGTCTCGTAAGTGTTTAGTTATTAAAAAATGAGGTCACACTTAGCAAGCATGAATCGAGAGCCTTCTATGACAGGCACCAGGGATGCTAATGGCATGAGACCTGGGTCCAACCTTCAGGAGCAGGCTATGTCATGGTCTACAGTCAAAGTGCTCATGGAGGATGTTTCGGGATGATGGAAGGACAAAAACATTAAGTGGCAAAGCGAGGGAGAATCAAAGGAAGGCTCATTTTTAGGGTGGGGAAGACTTGAGTGTGTTTGACACTCATAGGAATGGCCTCTGGTTCTGAAGTCTGTAAAATGAAAGTAACATATACTCAAAACTGAACCTTGACTATCTTGTAAAATCGTATCATATTTAAACTGATAACCATTACTATCAAAACAGAGCATTTCCCTACACATTGGCAGACTGCAGTTTCTTCCACTGAGGTACAGAGGAAGCAAATGACTTGCTTTGGGGCCCTGACATCTGGAAAATACCTATTTAGACATTGGAGAATTCTACTCAGCATGGGACATGCCCAGAGCAAGGGACGTTCTGGAATACTGGCTCTGCCTGAGGGAATGACAGGTTGATGTCTCCCACTTCAGGTCCTCTCTGTGTCAACACAGTAGTGGAAGAACTGCCAGTGCTGTTTAAATTGCTATTTCTTCCTTCTTTTCCCCCTCAGCATAGAGTTGAATTTTTGTAAGCTAAATACATACATGATCTTTCTCCACAGAATATTACAGGTAAGATATTTACAGGTAAGAGACTCAAACTTCAGACAGGCAAAAGCTTACTTTGGCAGTCAATCTGTTCTGGTATATATTAGTAAGTTATCAAGAGGCCTACTTTTAAGGGAATTCCAATAGAACAACGTCTCTCTTTCACTAGAGACCTACCTCGGTCGGCTGGTCAGCGGGCTGCGGTATCAGGAGCTGGTTGTGGTGCTGCAGCACTGTCTTCAAATAATCTAAAACGGTCTGGCAGGGCACTGGGTGGAAGAAATTGCAATGATCACACATTAGCTATCCCGCAACAGGAAAATAAAAAACTTGAAGGTCTAAAAAGATGTTTAAACTTCTAAAAAAATAAAAAAGACTTTCTTTCTAAAGGAGATAGAATCTTCTTTCATTGGACATCCGTAGTTATTTCAGTTTGTAAATACAGAGCAGATGCTACAGTGTTGGGAGAATTTTTAGACTCAGCACAATTCACTGAGAACTTTCAAGTTGAACTTACTCCAAGATGAATCTGGGTCAATGGTAATGATCATGAACAACTCGCAGAAGAGATATGCCTTATCTTCTTGACTCAGGTTGTATGTAGCATTAGCACCAGAGATGCTTTTTAAAATCAAAGTACCGAAAACTAATGTATCACTAGTTTTTAATCAATAGTATAATGCTTACTTTAAATGACAGATTCATTCCCAGTTCTTCAGTAAGCAGGAATCCCATACAATTTAAGACTTGCTTCTCAACACGAAAACACCTGACCACACAGTTCTTACTGTACGTGTCCCATTCTCTCGCTTAAAAAGCTCAATTGATTTGGTCCAATTCAGATTTGGTTATGTATTTCATTAACTACTGCACTATTTTTTCAAGGCTTAGTCTTATAGACTAATAATAATTACAACAAAACTGAATAGATATTAACCCAACATAGAGCATGATATTGTTTCTACTATTGTATAAATAATGCCTACATCTTAAGACTTATATTTAACTTAAGCCCCAATTTTAAAGTATCACTACTGAGCTTTCTTACTTTTTCTCACCATTTTTTTTTATGATGGCAAACAGAAGTTACCATCTTTATCCACTGCTAATAGCTGAGTTTTTCAGGCAACATCACACTGTAACATAACAAATCAAAAACTACATCAACATCCTTTTGAAGAATCTGATTGACAGGAAGTAGAAGGAGGTTAGAAAATTTTTCTTCTTGCCAAAAAAGTATTCTCGTCAATAACCATCCTTACAGACCTGTCATTGGAACATTTTGTTCAAATTGAAGAGCCATTTGCTGAACCATCACGGAGGCCAACCTATACCAGTTTCATAAAACCTGTCAAGTGCTCCTAACTTCACCAGCCTATTAAGAGTTCCACTTACTTTACTAATGCCATAGAGAATAAGAACTCATCTTCTGGCACAGGGCATTAATTACCAGAAAAAAGCAGAAGACTGGGTAAATGGAGACAGGAGACAGGGCTGCATTTCAGTTTTGGGTTTTTCACTTGCTGTGGGACCTTTGGGACTTCATTGAACTTCTGTTTCTCAGTCTCTTCTACAAAGGGCTGAGTATGAGGATCCAGAACAGCACTTCATTCTTCACAGTTCGTGGTTAGAATAAAACGTAACAGCAGGTACACATGTCACTGCTTTGCCAAGTGACTTGTGCAAAAAAGCATTACCTCGGATTTAGCTTGGGAAGTGTTAGTAAAATTTGTAAACACTCACTGACTGATTAGGATTTGAATGAACTTCTTTTCTTTTGATCCCTTGCCCATACTTTACAATCATTAAGATGTCTAAGAGAAAATTTTTAAATGAAGCACAAAAATGCTTACAAGGCAGCATACAAAACCAAATATTCAGTATGACCTCAACACTGTTAAAAATAATTATGTGCATAGAAAAGGGATAGGAAAGAAATAAGCCAAAGTGTTAATGATAATAATTAGCAAAGATTATATTTTAGTCATGGGATTAGGGTAATTATTATTACCTTTATCCTTTGTCATCCTTATAAAAACCAGCACTGTAAAAAATTTCTATGGTGTATGTAAACATAATTTTACAGTAATTCAGAAGGTGTTTGAAAAATGCCTACACAACTATTGTTTCCCTTCCTAGCTGCCCATCTCCTTCATTGTTGATCACACAGGCCTGGAAGGGCTTACAGAATGATTCTCCCTTTCTCTACACACTCAACATTTAGGCGGCAGTGCTTAGCTATGATCAAGGCCAGCTGATTCATACGTGCTGGAAGAAAACAGAACTTTATGTGCATTTACTGTCTGTAGGGGGCTCTATTTAAGGCAAGTGGATCCTGTATGTGGATATCTGGGCACAAGGCTGAAGCCCAGGAAGGCTGTGGACAGGGCTCATATTTAGCCAATGGTTAAAATAAACTGAAATAGCCACTGCCCTGGGTGTTCTGAGTACCCACCTCCCTGACGCCCTCCCACCCCTGATCCTTACAAGGCAGAGGCCCCTCTCCAGCCCAGGGCCAGACTGTGCCCCTGCTGGTAAAGAGCTGGAACATCATTCTTGACTGGGGTTCTTTGGATAGTTGCCTAGATTTACGCAGAGAAGCTGTAGAATCAAGTGAAATATTTTCTGAGAAAAACAAACAACTACAGATGCAGGTGAAATACATTATCCTGACACCATGCTGCCTGCCTGGGAGAGGCACAGGGCACTGAAAAGGGCATTGTGAAGAACCCTTGTCCTCTTGTCCCTTTGTTCTGTGGACAAATGTGGAATTTCCATGTTAGGACATGGCCCTCACAGATGGGAGCAACCGCCAGTGCTCCATGTGCTGTTATGCACTGTGTAGGCCACCATGTTGCTCCTTTGGCCTCCGAGGGAAGAGGGAGGCAGGTCAGGGCTTATAGTAGCAAGAAGACCATCAACAGGGTCCTCAAGGAGCTGGTTATGCCCCTGAGGCCTTCACATCTAATTGCCTCCTTATGCGAATTGTGAATTTTAAGCAAGTCACTCTCTCTGATGGAGAAACTACCACCTCAGACCCATCAAGCACTTTTCATTCACTCACTTGTTCATACTGCAAAAGAAAGCCAGATGAATCTGATAGGTTTAATGAGAAAATAAAAGAGGAACCCAAAACACAGAAACTTCTATTGAAGGGCAGGGAGGCTATAAAGGTACCCAAAATGTACCCAGTACATATCCTGATATTGAAATCTATAATTCCCCCCACCCCATGTAATAGTATTTAAAAATGCATATCAGATCATCCTGAAAAGAGTAAAATACCTAGGAGGAAAGACAAAAAAGTAGAAAGATCTTTTGTGTCATCACAGTAAAACTTGAGATAAACAGGTTACAAATATTCCATAAGGTACTTTTAAATCTAGATGATGTGTCACTAAAAAAAAATGCAGACCTCTGTAGTCTGCATGGTTGTTACATCATGGTCAGGGAAGTTAGTTAAATCCACACAGACGGGGTCTTTACGACATTCTAAGATAACACTAGTATATAGCAGTTTACTGACAAAAAGTTCGGGAATTAGTTTTAAAGTCATTCTTGGGTACTTTTTTTTTTTTTTAATATACTGACTCTGACACTATTAACTATGCAATCCTGGGCAAGTTACTTAAACTCTGAGCCTTTGTTATCTTACCTGTAAAACTGGGATAATTACCTACTGCATACAGTTACTGTGAGGATTAGCTGAAATAATATATGTAAAGCAGAAGGCAGCCAATTAGTATTGTCTAATGTAAGCTATTGCAACAGGAATCTAGTAAATTCTTCATAGAGGCCACCTGACTGACTGTTGACTGTGCCATCTTGGCTGCTGTACTGAGCAGCTATTATGTAAGGCTCTTCTTCCAAGAAAACCTGCCCCAATTCTGGTTTTGCCCATATTAAGGGTACTTGGGTCCCTAGTTTCTAATTTTCATTGCAGATTATTGCATTAAAATCTCGATCAGAGTTTCTCTTCTCATTTCCCAAGCATTATTTAATCTACCTTGCTATGTAGTTGTTTTTAAAGACTTAAAACATCTTGAAATATGTCACATACAATTTTATAGGGAAGTCCTCTGACAACCATCTATGTGCTTAATCATCTTTGAGTATCCTAGTCACATTGACTCTGTAAAGTATAAGCTCCTGAACTGTAAATATCTAGAAATGAACAATGAGCTTTAAGTATTACTCAGCCTACAGATGCACAGTTATACTTTTGATAATGACAGTGTCCTGTTTGCTTAATTCAATTCAATTAACATATGTACATGGTACAACATGCCTGACAGTGGGCTAGGAACTGGGGATACAGAGATGACTTCGACTTAGTCTCTGCCTCAAGGACCTGACATGGCCTGCCTCTCTTCATATAGGGACATCAGGAGACACGGACACACAGAGTGGAAACTTCCAATGACAACGACTTTGAAAAGAAGCATGCATGAGGTATTATGGAAAGTGGTTACTTTTGCCTGGGAACTGAGTTTGTTGCAGAGGAAACTGTGGGTACAGAAGGACGAGGAGTTTCTCAAGGGGGGAAAAGGAGAGTACGTACTTAGAGTGGAAGGAATAACAGGAGTAAAGAAAGACCAGAGGCATAAAAGCATCTGGCTGCTCAGAATCAAAAATTGTCCAGTGGGCTGGAGCACTTGTATGGTGGACAGTTTCCTCCAAAACTGAACAGGAAAAGATCCAGGTGTCAAGGTCCTTGTGTGCCATACTTAGAGTGCTGAAATTTACTCCACAGACTGTGTGATGCCCTCAGAGGCTCTTCAGCAGTGGTTGACCTGGGGCTGGCAGGGGGAGAGACTGGAGTCTGGGAGAGAAATCAAGCAGCTCTTAAAACAGTTCGAGTTATGAGACGGGCCCAGATGAAAGCAGCAGGGAGAGAGAAGAGGGATCCAAATTGATGGGTATGTAACAGGTGGGATCCAGAGGAGTGTAGACAGACTGCAAGTGGGGGAGAGGAGTTAGAGATGGATCTGAGGTTCCTAACCTAGGCGGGTAACTCACTGAATGGTGACCTTTTTACAAGGTAAGAACACTACTTGTAACCTAGGAAAACTGCTTAATATTTCTGCATTGCTAGGCACAGAACCGTTTCCCTATCTTTTTCTTAAAGTTGCCATTTATCGAGTGCTCACTGGAAAACCTAGTAGGCATTCAATTGCTACTGATTGAATTTAATACTTTCAACATTCCTATAATATTTTCTTTTCTTTTCTTTTCTTTTTTGTCTTTTGTCTTTTTCCGTGTCCGGCAA